CACACACATATACATGCATACACAAACACACACACACACACACATGCATGCATACACAAACACACGCACGCGCACACACACACACACACACACACACACACACACACACACACACACACACACACACACACACAGAAAGACACACAGGTAAATCCATACGTGTAAACACATAAATGCATACACAAACACGCGCACACACATATACGTGCATACACAAACACACACACACACACACATGCTTGCATGCATAAACACACACACCCACACACAGACACAGATAAATCCATACGTGCAGTCGTGCACACACACATACATACATGCATACACAAACACACGCACACACATATACGTGCATACACGAACACACACATGCACACACACACAGAAAGACAGATAAATCCATACGTGCACACACACATACATACATGCATACATAAACATGCGCACACACATACATGCATACACAAACACGCACATGCACACGCACACACACACACACACATACACACACACACACACACACATATATGCACACACACGCACACTGAAAGACACACAGAAAAATCCATACATACGCACACACACATACATGCATACACAAACACGCGCACACACATAAATGCCTACACAAACACATACAAACATAAATGAATCCACACACACACACACACCTAGACACAGACATGCAAGCACACATACATATGCATAAACACACCATCACATGCTTAACAAACCTTCCAGGAAGTTCTGCATTAAAAATGAAAGGCGAGCAGCACAGGGTAATCTGAGGAGAACATTAACCGGTTTAACACGAGCACAGACACACATTCATTGTTCCAGCGAATACAAACACACACACACGTCTGACCTGAGCGAAAAAGAAAAACACAAGTAGCGGCAGAAGTGTAAAATTAAAAAATCCACTCAAACGACCAGCTCAGATCACTCTGTCATTATAATAGACAAGGATGTTGAGCTCATGCTGTTATTTATTCATGCGTCACATCCATAACACTTCTGCGCACATCCACAAATCATATGAGGATATTTGAACCACATCTGAGAGTTTTCTGTCCATCAGACACGACTGAATGCTTTGATCCAAATAGCGCCATTTTGGTGACTGTCCCTTTAAATGCAAATGAGATTGTGCTGTTTTCAAAAGGGGGCGGAGCTGCAAATGCCTATGTGTCAGCATGGCTGCAGATTCAAAAACAAAATGTAAAATAAGTGTCTGATGCTTCTAGTTTGTATGTGTGTGTGTGTGTGTGTGTGTGTGTGTGTATGTGGTTTCAGATCAAAATACCACACTAATAACGTTTATAACTTTTGAAACGGACCCTTTTAGGCTTTGATCCTAATAGCGCCATTTTGGTGACTGTTGCTTTAAATGCAAATGAGATTGTGCTGTTTTCAAAAGGGGGTGGAGCTACAAATGCCTATGTGTCAGCATGGCTGCAGATTCAAAAACAAAATGTAAAATAAGTGTCTGATGCTTCTAGTTTGTATGTGTGTGTGTGTGTGTGTGTGTGTGTGTGGTTTCAGATCAAAATACCACACTAATAACATTTATAACTTTTGAAACGGACCCTTTTAGGCTTTGATCCTAATAGCGCCATTTTGGTGACTGTTGCTTTAAATGCAAATGAGATTTATCTGTTTTCAAATGGGGGCGGAGCTACAAATGCCTATGTGGCAGCATAGCGGCAGATTCAAAAATAAGATGTAAAATAAGTGTCTGATGTCTCGAGTTTGTGTGTGTGTGTGTGTGGTTTCAGCCCAAAATTCCACACTTATAATGTTTATAACTCTTGAAACTGACCCTTTTAGTCTTTGATCCTAATAGCGCCATTTTGGTGACTTTTGCTTTAAATGCAAATGAGATTGTGCTGTTTTCAAAAGGGGGCGGAGCTACAAATGCCTGTGTGTCAGCATGGTAAAATAAGTGGCTGTGGCGTTGATGCTCAACTGGTACTAATAGACCTAAAGTGTGCCAAGAAAATCTCCTCCACACCATTACACCAGCAGCCTGAACCGCTGATACAAGGCAGGATGGATCCATGCTTTCATGTTGTTGAGGCCACATTCTGACCCGACCATCTGAATGTGTCAGCAGAAATGGAGACTCATCAGAGCAGGCAACGTTTCTCCAATCTTCTATTGTCCAGTTTTGGTGAGTCTGTGTGAATTGTAGCCTCAGTTTCCTGTTCTTAGCTGACAGGAGCGGCACCCGGTGTGCTCTTCTGCTGCTGTAGCCCATCCGCCTCAAGGTTGTACGTGTTGTGTGTTCAGAGATGCTCTTCTGCAGACCTCGGTTGTAACGAGTGCTTATTTGAGTTACTGATGCCTATCAGCTGGAACCAGTCTGGCCATTCTCCTCCGACATCAACAAGGCATTTGCACTCACAGAACTGCCGCTCACTGGATATTTCCTCTTATTCAGACCGCTCTCTGTAAACCCTAGAGATGGTTGTGCGTGAAAATCCCAGTCGATCAGCAGTTTCTGAAATACTCAGAGCAGCCCGTCTGGCACCAACATCAAAGTCTCCCCTTTCTTCCCCATTCAGATGCTCAGTTTGAACTGCAGCACATCGTCTTGACCATGTCTGCATGCCTAAATGCATCGAGTTGCAGCCATGTGATTGGCCGATTAGAAATTTGCATTAAAGAGAAGTTGGTCAGGTGTACCTAATAAAGTGGCCGGTGAGTGTATACACACAAGCTTGCATTTTTAATCAGAATGAACCCTTCACCACTCATTTAAATACATGGAAATACATTCATCATATACTTCAATCGATGGGACTTCAGTATGGGACGACTCCATCATTGGACAATCAGTCTCCTACATCAGTTTCAACGCCCTTTTCGACCACAGAGAGTGTATTGATTTATGAAAAGCATACATCTTTCATGGCCTCTAGCATAACTCAACCGTTAGCCATCCGTCAATTTGTTGTAATGGCTTTCCACTTCTCTGGCATCATCCGTATCTCTCTCTCTGGCTCCCACACATCCTCATGCTGAGCAAGTGCTACAAGGAAGAGCCCAAAATAGACACCGGCTATAGTGCTGCCGCTGTGCCATTCAAAAAAAATAATAATAATCCAAACGCTAGCACCAAAATGCTCTCGGAGATGCTTGGTTTGAGACTAATGTTAGCCGTCGTTGGCAGGCGATCAAAGCAAGAGGGTTTTAAGTGGTCTTGAATGCACCTCCTGCATTCGAAGCTAGCCCACGCCACATGCCAAACCTTGACCGCTTCAACCTTCCCAAAAGAAAGCGCCTGCTGTGAAACCAAATTGACCGTCTTGGCTTGAGGGCCGATTTCTATTCGTGGAGCATGACGAACTTTATTTTTCCCTCCAATACAGCACGCGAGCTTAATGCCAGCTGACAACAGCCTCTCGAATTAGCATATATTAGCGTATTTACCGTGATGACTCGGAAAAACTGAAACAGAGGACATTGCTGAATAATACCCTGCTGAAAAATCCAGCTTAAACCAGCTTAGGCTGGTTGGCTGGTTGTAGCTGGTTGACCAGCCTGGTTTTAGAGGGGTTTTGGCCATTTCCAGCCTGGTTTCCAGCCATTTCCAGCCTGGTCTTAGCTGGTCAGGCTGGAAAATGACCAGCCAAATCCAGCTAAAACCAGCTTGACCAGCCTGGTTTAAGCTGGATATAGCTGGTTTTGGCTGGACTCCCAGCTTGGCTAGGCTGGTCAAGCTGGTTTTAGCTGGTCGAC